CGAGACTCAATGCGGTAAATCACAAGGAATTAACTTGTCGTGTAATCCCACTCCTGTTTTCAGGTTCCGGTAAAGGCCAACCGCGGCAGGCATCTCTGCCGGGATGGCACCCACATTTCGAATTCCAGACAGTAAACATCCCTGTTACAACCGTCCTCCCTGTCCCTGGCTGTGGTGGGCTTGGAGGTCCATTCTGGTTCGTTGGTTTAGAGTTTAGTCCCTTGAAGTGGAGGCGAGCAGGAATCCTTGGTACTTCTCTTTCCGACAAAATCCGCGCTCTGGCCAGGTCAGCGCGCGCCGCCGCGGCGACTGTGCCCGCGAGAGATCAACAACCGCGCAGTGCATTGCGGCGTGCGGCGCCGCGCGGGCCTCCCCTCCCCGCCCCGGCGGGCCGGGCTAGGCCGGGCCGGACCGCCACCGCCGCCGCGGTCGCTTTTATCGCCGGTCCTAGACGCTTTACTGCCGCGAGGACTGGCCGCCATTCCGAAGCGGCGCTTCTTCGCTCCGTCCCTCTCGCACCCGTGCGGGATGCTTGATGGGTGCGAGAGAGACAGCAGGACGAAACACGCGAAACACTGATTCGGAATGAGGCGGCTGGCGAGGCAATGCAGGCGAGACGCTGCTGCCCCAACAGCTAGACCGCTCGGCCCACGCCCCCCGCCCCGCGCCGCCCCGCGCCGCCCCGCGCGCATGCGTGAACTGCGGCCTTCCCTGAAAGCACACAGCCGCCCGCGCGGCCCGCGCACAAACACGGTTTTCACGAACGGGACGAAGGTGGCGACGAAAGCTGTGCGACATGTCGGCCGCGGTGAGTTTCGTGGAAGGCTCTGGCTGCGGTTGTACAGCAGGCCTGCCTCGAAAGCGGCCTGCTCGGCCTCAATGAAGCGCGTGTTTCGCTTCTTTACGAGAGGTACGCTGCCATGCTGCTATACACCGCGCCTCCCACGCAGCATCGCAGTCTCAATCGCGCGCCGCGCGCCGCGCATCGAGCTGGCCGAGCACGGCGCGCCGAGGGCCGCCGAGCGAGCCCTCCCGAGCTGAGCCGAGCTGGCCGACTCGGAGTAGGCCCGAGTCTTGGCCGAGGCGAGTCGAAGCCGGGGCGAAGCCATGGCGAAGCGGCACGAGCGCGACGGGGCGACGCGACGCGCGAGCCTTTCGACCATTCGGCCATTCGGCAGGGCGGCCGCCGCCTCCGAGGCCGCTTCGCCTTGCCTCGCAACGCCTCGCGGGTCCGCGCGCTGCCGTGTGCGGCTCGCTGCGGGCACGAAGTGGAGCATCGTGGGGCCGGGCCGCAGCGCCGCGAGGAGGTCGCCTGCCTGTCGGGCTCCTGATTCGCCTTTCACCCGCTGGGCCAGCGCGCCGCTCCGCCCGTCGCCCGCGCCCGGCCCGGCCCGGCCGGGAGTTTGGCTTTGGGCCGCGGTGTCGCGCTAGTCGCTGGGCCTGGCCTCGCTAGCCACCGCACTGCACTACGCCGCAGCCTTGGCTCGCAGTGCAGTGCTGGCCCACGACTGCCCACGACCGTGTCCATAGGCGTGTGTTGTCAAAGCACGGCTACGGCGCGGAGGGCGCGGAACCAGAGCGCAGTTCGATCGGCCGCAATGCGTGCGAGAGCGAGGCGCGCGCGCCCGACCAGCGGCACGCTGCAGCACTTGCGCGTCGGAACGGTGGCCTGCCCGCACGGCGCTCGCGTCGCGTCGCCTTCCAGTTCGTTCTGCTGTTCTGCTCCGCCCTGCCCGGTCGTGCCTTCGCACCCTCTGCCGCTCGCCACGCGATATTTCATGGGCGACAGACAGTGGCAGGCAGGACCGGCAGGGACCTGACTCGCGCCCCGCCGTCGCCACCGAGGAATGCTCTATTTCATCCCGAGCGACGTCCCCGTCGACCTGGCGCGTCGCGGCGCTAAGCGTCGCGACGCCTTGCCGTCTGCGCAGGAGGCCAGGGCGATGCGTCTGTCTCATCGGGAAGGCGTTGCTGCCTGCCTCTCGGGCGGCGCTCTCCGGCACTGCTGCGGCACTGCTGCGGCCCGCCCACGCGGTGCCCGTCGTGCCCGTCGACTCACCTTGGACACGGGTGCTGACGTCGGCGCCGCACTGGCCGGCCCCGTGGTGATGAGCTTGAGCAGCGGCCGGTTGGCGCGACGGATGGACCCGGACCCTGGGATGCCAGGGGCGCCAGGGCCCGTTTTCGCTCCGGGTGGCTTCAGCCCGGACGGCGACGCGCCGCCGCTGAGGTTCGCACCCGGGCCCGTGGGCGTCGACGGGGTGCTGCTGGCTGGGGGCTTGCCCGTCGAGTCCCTTCTGAGGCGGTCCTCGCAGCCGGGAGTGGACGGTGGGGTGGGGCTGGCAGCCGCCCTGGCCGTGGGCTGTCCGCGCCGCATGGTGACCTGGGGAAGCGGGAAGGTACGCGTTAGTGGGCTGGTCCAAGTGTCGCCTTGTATTGACGGCGCCGTCGCCACGTCCTGGCAAGCCTCAAGCCTGGCAAGGGCCCGGGGCGGGGCCCGGGGCCCGGGGGACCTTGCGGAGCAAACTGGGTGCCAATCTGCGCGTGGGGCGGCGAGGGGCGGCCCCGGTTGACAGAGTGGCTCTGCCAACTCGCGCGGTCGCGTTCGAAGCGACAACGCATCCCCGTGCCCCGGGGAGGTGCTTTCTGACGCGGTGACACGCCGACGGCGCGCGCCAACGTGTCCGCGGATGAGAAATGGGGAGCGTGGCGTCCGACACGCGTAGCGCGCGTAGCTCGCGTACCCGCCACGCGCATTGCCGCGGCCCCGGCCTTGCCGGCCTTGCCCCGGTTCAATCAGGTGGACAGGTGGGAAAGGTGAGGCGGAGCGATCCCCGCCCCGAATCAAAAATAAGCTGCTGCGTTCGCGCGCACGCCGTACCGCCGTACCGCCACCCTGGTACGCGCTTTGCTTGGCGCGCTCGGCCGGCCAGCGCGGCGTCCGCGTCCCTTGGCGCGCCTTGTATGGCATGCCCGCCTCGACTACTTCGAGGTTCGAGGCAGCGCAGCGCAGCGAGCGCCGGGTGGCGCGCACGGCGGGCGGTCCGCGTCGTGGAGTCGCGGCCGAGTCGACAACAACAACGCGTACTCGCGGACCAGGAGAAATAAGCTGGGAACGAGAGGGCAGAAATCCAGGCCACTGTTTTAATGGAAAACGCTTCGGCATTTCTTCGACTATTCGCGTCCTGTACGAAGCACTTGGCATGTTTTCGCCCCCGTCATGCAAAGGGCGCGTATTGTATGGCTCACTCTCTCCGACCCAAAGACTCACTTGTTTCTGGTCTTCTTCTGTGATTACGAGATACGCGGTGGCACCCGCGTGTGCACCCGCACTCAGCGGTTCACTTTGTCACCGTGGTGCGCCGTGCCGCGCCGTGCCGTGCCGCGCCTCGCCAGTCACTCTCCTCCATGGAGGTGCACTCGCTGCCCGTCGTTATCGTCCTCCACACTGTCACGCACGAGGAGCCACGGCCACTGCCCGCGCCCGGCCACCACCTTTTATCGCCTTATCGTTCGGCGCCGCGGCGCGCCGCCACGTTTCGCGGATCACGGTCTCCAGATCGCGGTTCGCGCTTCTCGGGCCGCGGTGCCGCGGTGCACGGCGACGGGCTGCTTCGAGGCGCGACGCCGCGACCCACCGCCGCACTGGCCTGTTTGGCACACTGTCCCCATGCCAGTGCTGCCAACCAGACTCGCCGCCAGTGGCGCGCGCGCTGCGCCGGCCAGCAGGCAGGGCTACCAGCGCCAACCGGCCGCAGGACTTCCCCCTCCTCCCACACCGTCCACACCGTCCACACCGTCCCACACAGCGACGCCAACCCAACGCCGCACGCCGCGCTTCGGTAACAATGCAACAGACTGATTCCGAGCAGGAGGTCTCTCCAGGGTTTCTCTCTCTCGCATTGTGCGAGAGAGGCGAGCCGACAGGACGCTCCTTTCAGGAACAGCCTGCGGCCTCCAGGGACCCGCGGACACTCCCTGTCCTGCTAGAGACTCGCCTCTTGGGACTAGGCATTTTGCCATCAATTAATTCCAATTCCAGAAAAGCTAACCAGTTGTTATAGAGTGGTAGGAATTGTAGATTGTACAGCAAACGAAGAGCAGGCGTGGCGACTCATATCTGATTATGGAAGCCCTTGGCGACCGGGTACTCGCAAGAGACAGTCGAAGTGTCAAAAACAAATTTGTCAGTTTGATGAAAACCGTCGGCCCGTCTTATTGCATAATATTGCAGCTCTCTTGCACCCCTCCGGAACGCCCCACGAGTGCGAAAGAGACAGAGGGACGTTAAAAGAGGGCCTGTCAGCCGTTTCAGCGGGCAGTTACACACGCATTCCACACTCCGATTGTCAAGCGGGCCAGCGGGCCACTGGCACCTAACATCACTCTGTATTATTAGTAAAGACGTCATGGCCTCTGCTCCCACGCCGTAATGGTCGTCCAGGACACACACTTGAGCCTCTCACGTGGGCACGTGGGCACGGCGGCACGGCGGCACGGCGCCATGCGGCTTGGCGATAGGCCCTCGCGGCCTTGCTCGCCGCCAAGGTCGCCAATTTAGACAACTGCTCCCCGGCCAAATGTCCTTTGCAGTGCGTTCGTACTCGTTGCCGTAGAACTTGTTTTGCCAAAGACCGTTGGCTTTTTGGTTGCTGTCGGGGAGCGTGAATGGAATGCGCCTCACTTTCACCTGAAAAGTCGGGCATAGTCAGGCCATTGAATCAAAATAAGTCCCTCAATCACTATCGGCATCCGATTTTCAAAGCCGAGATACGGAGTCTGCTTGCAGGCGCTGCTTCGCCATACCGCGCAACATCAACCATAGATTCTTTCGCTGCAAGACTTTGGGCGTCGCATCGAGATCCCCGCCGCCCGCCCCGCCCCGCCCCCCTCCTGTGACTGCTCGGCGTCCGACTGGCCTCCGCGCCGGGCCGCCACGCCGCCACGCCGGACGGCGATTCTGCCGGCCCGCCGGTCAGTCGTCGCCAGGCTCCCGATCGCCGAGAATGACCCTCCGCGCCGCCATGGCCGCCGTCCTGGCCGCCGCGGTCGTCCTCCTCGCCGCGGCCGGCTCCCACGGCGTCGACGTCCCGGCCACGCCGCGGCCGGCCGTCGCCGCCACCGAGAGGCCCGAGAACAAGCCGCTGCGCATCCTGTCCATCATGACGGTGGACACCATGAGCCACCACCTGTGGATGGCGCCGCTGACGCTGGCGCTGGCCAAGCGCGGCCACCTCGTCGAGGCCGTGGACGTGGCCATGCCCAAGGAGGTGGCGCCCACGCTCAACGTGACCGTCATCGAGTCGGCCTTCAAGATGATCAAAGCGGACACTATACAGCGGTGGCTGGCAGCCGGCATGCTGGAGCAGACGTACCTCATGAACAGGTACACCATTAGCAAGTGCGACATAGACCTCTCCACCCCAACTATGCAGCGAATCATAGGCCCGTCCAACAAGGAGTACTACGACCTCATCCTCATCGACTTCACCTCGGAGTGTTTCCTGGCCTTGGCGCACCGCTTCAACTACCCCGGCATGGTGCTGCTCTCCCCGTTCCCTGGCTCCCCCTGGCTGCACGACCTGATCGGCGACCCCCCCGTGCCCGCGGTGGTGCCCTCCTCCATGCTCCCCTTCCCCCACCCCATGAACCTGTGGCAGCGCGCGGCCACCGCGGCCTTCGCGGCCTACAACAGGCTTCTGAGTTGGTGGTCTGACCCCGAACTGGAAGAGGCCTTGCGGAAGCATTTTGGGGAGGACTTGCCCAACTTGGAGGAGCTGCGGAAGCACGCCCACCTCGCGCTGGTCAACGAGAACCCCGTCCTGGACATGCCCCGTCACTACATGCCCGCGTCCATCCCGGTCGGGGGCATGCACGTCCAGCCCGCCAACCTGGACAAGATCCCCAAGGTGAGTGCGTGGCTCGGTCCCTGCAGGGACACTCACATGGCCATTCCACTCCGCCTCCTCCAACTAGGGCCTTTCCTTGTCACAGGACCTTCGGGAGTGGATGGACGGCGCCAAGAACGGCTTCATCCTCGTGTCGTTCGGGACCGTCATGAAGGGGGCCAACCTGCAGAAGGACAAGGTGCACGCCCTGGTGGAGAGCTTCGCGGCCCTGAGCGACGTGCGGGTCCTCTGGAAGCTTGAGCCCGAGGTGCTGGAATCGGAAACTCTGCCCGCCAACTCTCGAGTGGAGAAGTGGCTGCCGCAGAACGACATCCTCGGTGAGTGCCGCCAGTTTCAGCCCGCCGTCGTCATGTTGATGTTACCGCTAACGCCGGCTGCCGGCACCGCCCTCCACACCGCAGGCCACCCCAAGCTGCTGCTGTTCGTGTCCCACTGCGGCGGCCTCAGCACGCAGGAGGCCTCGGCCTTCGGCGTGCCCATGCTGGGCGTGCCGTTCCTGGTGGACCAGTTCCTCAACCTGGACAAGGTGGTGCGCATCGGCATGGCGCGCCGCATGCCCTTCGCCGAGATCACCAAGGAGCGCTTCGTGGCCGAGGTCCGGGAGATGCTGCGCAACCCCAGGTGAGTGTCGAGCCGAGTCCACGAGCGCGACAGTCTGGCGTGCTCAGTCCGAAACAGAAAGAGAGTTTGCGACGGCAGATAAGGCTGGGGATAGCGGCGGCGCTGATCCGCCAGGCTTGGCGGTGACTGCGCCTCGGAAACTAACCGGCCACGTGGACGCGTCATCCTCGTGGGCACAATGACCACCACCTCGGAGCAAAAAGAGGGAGGGGGCGATGATTCAGCTCTTGTCGGTATTTGAACCTCGACCCTGCTGCCCGCAGATACCGCGACGCGGCCCGGCGCACCGCGCTGCTGCTCCGCGACCAGCAGAACGCGCCGCTGGACACGGCAGTGTGGTGGTGCGAGTACGTGGCCAGGCACCGCGGCGCGCCGCACCTGCGCTCCCCGGCGCTCGACCTGGCCTGGCCGCAGGCCATGCTGCTGGACGTGATGGCCCTGTTCGTCGTCGCCGTCCTCGCCCTCGTCGCCGTCCTGGCCCTCCTGCTGCGGGCCTGCCTGCGGTGCCTCTTCTGCCGCCGGGACAAGTCGCCACACACTCGCCAAAAGAAAGACTGAGTGAACCCACCTGAACGTACCTGCAGACACATGCTCCTCTCAACTGTGATCATAATTGTCTTGTAAATTTAAGTACTGTGTTAGACTAACTCATCGATCCCATTTGTAAAAATAGATATCAAGCAATAAAAGCAATGCACTTACCATGTGTACGCACAGGGATCCTTATCAGCAGTCAGTTGCCAAACCGTCCTCGAGGCCCTCGGCGAGACTCTCATTCGTCACGTGGCTGCGTGACGCGGGTGGTTCAAAGTGCTTGTCAGCGACTGGCGGTCTGGCGCGGCAGCGCAGTGCTGTGCCAGCAGGTATATAGCCAACAGGCTCTGGTCCGGTTGGACCTACAGTGCGGCGGCTCCCTTCGTCCGACTCCATGGCGACGCTAAGACTGACGGCCGTCGTGGCGACCCTCGCCGTCGTCCTGCTGGCGAGCGAGACGACCGTCGCCGCGCACGTCGCTGGTTCCGGGCCTGCTGCCGCCCCGGTGCGCAAGCCGCTGCGCATCCTGTCCATCATGACGGTGGACACCATGAGCCACCACCTGTGGATGTCCCCGCTGACCGTGGCGCTCGCCAAGCGCGGACACCTCGTCGAGGCCGTGGACGTGGCCATGCCCAAGGAGGTGCCGCCCACGCTCAACGTGACCATCATCGAGAACGCGTTCATCTCGGATAGATCGGACCCCGACGCCTTGAAGCGCTACGTGCGCGCCGGCCGGCTGGAGCAGATGGCACTGCTGTCGAGGTACGCCCTCAAGGAGTGCGACCGCGACCTGGTGACGCCCACCATGCGCCGGCTGCTGGACCCGTCCTACCCGGGCGAGTTCGACCTCATCGTCCTGGACTACCTCAGCGACTGCATGCTGGGCATCGCGCACCGCTTCAACTACCCCGGCGTGGTGCTGGTGTCCCCGCTGCCCGGAAGCACCTTCCTGCACGACCTCAAGGGCAACCCCGACATGCCCGCCCTGGTGCCCACCAGCGTCGTGCCCTACCCGATGCCCATGGCGCTGTGGCAGCGCGCCGCCACCGTCTTCTACAGCGCGTACCTGCGCGCCCTGGGCTGGTGGTTGCGCGCCGAGACGGACGCCGCGCTCCGGAACCACTTCGGCGCCGACGTGCCCAGCGCCGACCAGCTGCGGCGCGGCGTGCACGTGGCGCTCGTCAACGAGGACCCCATCCTGGACCAGCCCCGGCCCTACGTCCCCGGCCTCGTGCCCGTCGGCGGCATGCACATCCAGCCCGCCAACGCCAGCAACCTCCCCGCGGTGAGTCACCCAAGGTTTGCCTACGAGATTCTATTCGACATTTTGACCACCTTTGCAAAGACGGTGCTTCCAAACTACTAGCTCCGTCCGTGAGGCCAGAGGTAGCAAGGAGAGTAAATCGGCGTGAGATGCTGGTTTCGGAAGGCGGGCGCGGCGGGCGTTCATTGGTCGACACGTCGAGTGAGAACCACTTGGTGTAAGTGGTACAACGCTCAGAGTATGCCGCCAGCCTGCGTCATTCGCAAGCCACCTGGCGCTGCCCCACCACTCGAAAACCCTCAACGCTAATCTCAAATCTCTCATGGAAAAGAAATAAAACCCTGCGTCAATACCCCTCGCGCCGGGTGAGGCAGTCTCTCGTGCTCGGAGTAGCGACCAGTGGCGGCACAAAGAATCCCTCAAGATGTGCCTCGCGCGAGGTGATGCAGGTCGTGACCGTGATCCGTGTTTTTGTCGCAGGATTTGCGCGAGTGGATGGACGCCTCTTCGACGGGCTTCATCTTCGTGTCGTTCGGCTCCATCATCAAGGGGTCCCACATCGACGAGCAGAAAAAGCGCGCCCTCCTGGACGGCATCAGTGCGCTCGCGGAAGTCCGAGTGCTCTGGAAGATGGAGCCGGAGGCCCTGGGCGTGGACAAGCTGCCGGACAACGTGCGGGCGCAGAAGTGGGTCCCGCAGAACGACGTGCTGGGTAAGTTGCAGCTCGGGGACCTGCACCATAAAACGAAAAACAACATCAGAAGTGAGCCGCGCCCTCACGCTTCCCTGCCTGAACCGCAGGCCACCCCAAGCTGCTCCTGTTCGTGTCGCACTGCGGCGGCCTCAGCACGCAGGAGTCGGCGTTCCACGGCGTGCCCATGCTGGGCGTGCCCATCATGACCGACCAGTTCCTCAACGCGGACAAGGTGGTGCGCATCGGCATGGCGCGCCGCATGCCCTTCGCCGAGATCACCAAGGAGCGCTTCGTGACCGAGGTCCGGGAGATGCTGCGCAACCCCAGGTAAGCACGCCAACGCCGAGGGCAGCTCGACTGGTGGTCGTGAAAGTGCCTACTTTGTCGGTATTCGAACTCCGTCCTGCCTGCCCGCAGTTACCGCGACGTGGCCAAGCACACCGCGCTGATGCTGCGCGACCAGCCGAGCTCGCCGCTGGACACGGCAGTGTGGTGGTGCGAGTACGTCGGCAGGCACCGCGGCGCGCCGCACCTGCGCTCCCCCGCACTCGACCTGACGTGGCCCCAGGTCATGCTGCTGGACGTGATGGCCCTGTTCCTCCTCGCCGTCCTCGCCCTCGCCGCCGTCGTGGCCCTCCTGATCAAGGCCGTCCTCCGGACAGCCCAAAAGATGTCGCTTCCTCGTGAAAAGAAGGACTGAGTGAACTGAACGCCCAATGGCGTCGCCCATGCAGGCAACCTTCTCGGATGCCCCGACCCTGGGAAAGAGAGCAATCCAAGACTGACACGTTCGTACAAATAGTGTTAAGGATATTTTTACGTTATTAAAATAAAGTGTTGTCCACGTCATGTTTTTCTTCCACCATATCCCGCAATCGAAAAGATAAAAGTACCTAACACGGCGAACTCTATAGTTCCGCGATGGATAGTGAAGCGGAGAGTTTGCTCCTGGGCGGTAGACCTCCCATCGTACTCGCTCTGGTTCTGCTTACGCTGCTGCGCGCCGCAAGGTAGGCAGCCAAGCCTACGCCACTCGACGTTTGCCAGTGCAATGTGCGGAGGTGAAGATCTGGTGAACCCAACAGGCAGCAACGAGTAGCAACGAGCAGCAACGGGCCCCAACTAGGTGTCTTTTAGGAAGAGCACTTGCACCTTTGCACAGTGTCGCTGTAGTTACGCCTGCCTCCACGCCTCACGTGCCGATCATGGGCCCAAACTTTGGAAGTTGGTCGGGTGAATTGAATGGTAACGCTCCGGCAGTGGTGACGAGTAAAACGCGGAAGCCACGCGGGCCGCGCCGGCGGAAGAGCCAGCCGTGGTCCGAGAGCGATAGACAGTCAATTGTATTGGCGGTCGGTTGGGAGAGAGATAGACACAAGGCGCGGGCAGTCCGCGTCGGCAGTCTGGCAGCGCGGGTGATTCAAACCGAGCGGCGCGCGTGCCGAGTGGAGCTGCGTCCGAGGCGGAGGCTTCTCTGACGGCGGCGGCGCTCGGCGGCCCCCTCGCCTCGCCCCGGGGGCAGCCCTGCCCGGCCCGGCCCGGCCCCGCCGTAACCACCCTTATCGGCGCGGGCCGCGGCGGCGGGGCAGCGGGATTATCGCGGGGCTCCGAGAGGAGACGGGGCGAGACACGGCGAGGCAGCATGTCGCCGACGTCGTCGTCGGCGCGCTGCCAGTCCAGCCCCGTTTAGCGACGCAGCCTGACGCGCGGCCAGCCGCACGGTCTGCACCATGTCGCTCAAGATCGGCTTCCTCGGCGGCGGCAAGATGGCCCAGGCCCTGGCCAGGGGCTTCCTCGCCAAAGGTGCGTATCGCTGCCCCCGGCAGCGGGAGCAGCCGCAAAATTTTTAACCAATGGGTCTTTTTGGGAGAACACTACAAGATAGTGAAAGTCTTTTTCGAGGAACGACAAGCCATTTTTGACAGTTAGGAGTTAGGGAGGTCATCATTGTGCAGAGAAATACACAGCTTTAATCTCTGTCCCAATCACGAAAAATTAACTTGACAGCGTTAAAATAGATGGATAAACACAAAGTAAAAGTAAGCTTTTCGCGTTCCTTCATTGAGCCGAGCAAAGGCCGAAAGCGAGGCAAGACGCGCCGCCTCTCCCTGCGCGAGTCGCGACAAACATGAGGGAAGACGATAAGCGTGACACTGGGTCATGTTTACAATGCGGCGTTCAAGGCGAGGCCGCGGTGGCTTCCTGGTGGTTCCTGACGTTCCTGACGAGCGTCGCGTTGCAGGGCTGACCCGCGGCGAGGACGTGGTGGCCAGCGCCGCCCCCCAGGACAAGCAGTGCTTCGAGGCGTTCAAGGTACAGTGTCGTGGCACTTGATGAGGCGCCGGAAAACGAAGGAAAAGGCTAAAGACTGCTAGATTGTAAACTCTTGCCTAGAGATAAGCACCGTGATTCGGCGCTACTGTGGAGTCATAGCTACTTCAAGTTGTCCTGCCTCAGGTGTAGTCGCGCGCGTGGCCTGGCGGGCCCAACGCCGCCGGCCCCGTCCTGACCGGGGCAGGGTCGGACGGTCGCAGCCACCCTTCTCATCTCATGAACCCTTTGTGGTGATACCAGGAGCTGGGGGCCACGGCGACAGCCGACAACACGCTCGTGGTGAAGAAGTCCCAGGTGGTGTTCGTTGCGGTCAAGCCGGACATGGTGAGCACGGTGCTGCAGCAGGTCAAGCCGGTCGTCTCCAAAGATAACCTCTTCATCTCCATCTGCATGGGCATCACCATCGCCGACCTCGAAAAGGTAACCGCGGCCGAACTGTGAACGATCCGTTGTCGAACGACGGCCGGCCAGCCCCACGCTACAGTGCTACAGTCCGTGCTTCTGCTGCAGGACCTACCCCCCGGCACGCGCGTGGTGCGCGCCATGCCCAACACCCCCGCGCTGGTGGGCCGCGGCGCCTCGGTCTACACCTGCGGCACGGCCGCGCGGCCCGACGACGGCGACACCGCCAGGAAGCTCCTGGGCGCCGTGGGCATCGCCCACCAGGTGCAGGAGAAGCTCGTGGACCCCGTCACGGCCCTCAGCGGCTCCGGCCCGGCCTACGTAAGTGCAAAGTACAGCCAACACTATTTCTAGGAATTGCGTCCCTAGACATCACCGGTACTCGGTGCTCAGCATGTTAATTGAACTTGTCAACTTGGTAGAGGAGATAGGCGAGATAACAGACACGGATCAATATGCCCGCTAAACGCTCTCCCTTTGGTCTCCCCGGCGATAACCAGGATCAGCGGATTAGCCGCACCACAACGGCCTCTCTGCTCTGTTCCGCCCAGAGGGCACTCACTCAGGCACGCATGGATTAGCCTTATCAGACACGTCGCCCTCTCCCTGACGGCGTGCAGTCACAATGACAACAACGACGCCAAAACTTTCCTAAGGAGTTCAAATTTGGTTCACCCAGGTGTTCCTGGTGATCGAGGCCCTCGCTGACGGCGCCGTCAAGGAGGGCATGCCCCGCGACCTGGCCTACCAGCTGGCGGCGCAGACGGTGCTGGGCGCGGGCCACCTCGTCATGGAGACGGGGCAGCACCCCGCCAAGCTCCGGGACGACGTCACCTCCCCGGCCGGCTCCACGGCGGCCGGCCTCGCGCACCTCGAGCAGTGCGCCGTCCGGTCCGCCATGGCGGGCGCCGTGGCGGCGGCCACCAAGAGGTGCAAGGAGATGCAGAGCCAGGCCAAGTAGTGGTTTGGAGACTGCTTGGCCTGCTGCAGGACGCGGAGTGCGACACGAAGGTCGCGCCACCCAACGGACCCGACCACAGCCGTCCGATGTGATCTCAGATCTCGCCCCGAATCGTGGGAACCCGCTTGTAAATAAACTTTGTAAATAAACACAGCCTTAGACCTCGAATATGTCGTATGATTTCACAATCAGTTGCACATAAAAGTGGATACACAGCATTTTGTAACGTTTGATAAGTAAAAGTTGCAAGTTTAGATAAATGATAAAATACAAGCTTTAGTAATACACTGTCTAAAAACTGGCAATAACCGCAGGACTTTCGCAAGACAGCCATACATGGCGATTGTCTGCAGTAAATTACATAGAACGGGACAAAAATAAACGGAAAATGCAGGCACGAACAATCACTGAAAACAATTACATCGCTAAGTGCTCTATCCTCCAGTATTTTTGTCACACCGGTACCCCCGTGTGTGTACAATCACAACCACAGCTCTGGGCGTTTGCTTTCGCGGAGGAACAGACTTCTTCTTGGCGTTCCTTCATTGGTGACGTCACGACTCGCCACCCATCTGGAGCTCCGCGCGGACTCTGTTAACGGGCGGGAAACATACAATTAACATACCGATGAAACTGCGATTGCGTAAAGAAGATTCGCAATGAAGGAGAGCGGGGCTCGCACGTACAGCACACGGTGCACGGTCCGCCGCGGGGGGACGATTCCCCAAGACGAAGGCGCCATGATGGCAGGTCCGGGCGCGTGAGCACCCTACTCTGTGTGTCACCGGGCGGGGACCTCGATCCTGAAGTCCACCGTCCTCTGCGAGAGCGGCTCCTGGAACGCGGTCGCGATGTCCTTGGCGGCGGCCCGGATGGAGTTGTTGGCGATCTTGGGCCGCACGTGGATCGTCTGGAAGTCTGCGCAGAGACGCAGGGATACTCCACGAGTAGAGGGTTATGCAGAGGGAAGGGACGGGCGGGTGGACGTCGCCAACTCACTGATGGACGCATCCAAGCGCAGGCGGCAGATGTCCTTGACCGTGTCCAGGTGGCGAAGCACGCCGTCGAACTGGAAGAAGGACAGCCGGCGGCAGCGCGACAGCAGCTCCAGGACCACGTCGTCCAGCTGCTCACGGCTGTTCTTGAGGTTGAGCTGGACGCACTCCAGGGACTGGTGGTAGTGGGCCGTGAGCAGGCGCAGCGTCGCGCGGAAGGCCCTGGACCGACTCTGGTCCCACACGGAGCCGGAGTACAGCCTGAAGCCGCACAGGGGCACGGCGGGGAGCAGCAGGACGCAGATGTCCTCGAAGTGGCCGATGTGCTCTGCGAGGGACGGTGTTGGGGGTCATCGAGAGGTCGGAAGGAGTTGAGGTAGCGGTGAACGTTGGACACTGCTGAACACACCGATGTTGAGCACGACGCGCAGGTGGGGGCAGGCGGCGGCGGCCTGGGTCCACGCCTCCTGGGACAGGGCGTGCTGGCGGTGGTCCGTGTCCCGCACCGTGACGGACAGCGAGCGCAGCGCCGGCCCGCAGCACTCGGCGAGCAGCACCAGCGTGGCGTCCGACAGGGCGGGGTAGTTGAGGCTGAGTGCGGACAGCGGGGACAGCCGCCGCAGCGCGCGCGAGAACCTGCCGGCCGCCATTGGTCTAGCCTTTAATGGTAATGGCATGGTGGGGTAGGCCGCCAGCACGAAGGCGTGTGTTACGGGCGTGCCTACTCCGGACTTGGCGGGCTGAAAGCCCGAGGACGAGGACGTACTTCGGCGACGCGTGGGGTGCCTGCCACTCGCGGAAGGCGGCGTGGAGGCGCAGGTCGCCGAGCGTGGCGCTGGAGCAGCGCGCCGCGGCGCCCAGGAGTCGCAGCGCCTCCGACACGCCCAGGCAGGCGTTCTCCAGCGACAGCACCTGCAGGCGCCGCTGGCTGCCCAGGAAGGCCGCGAGTGCCGCCAGCAGCTGCCCGCGCTGCACCGCGCTGGCGTTGCACTTGTAGCTCATGACGAGGTCGTGGAGCAGCAGCTGGCTCGGCTGCAGGTGGCCGGCCTGCCCCGCGGCGCGCAGGGCCTCCAGCAGGTGAAGTGCCGGGCCGTGGCACGACGACGGCGTGCTCGAGGACGACGCCGTGGTGCCGTGGTGGTGGTAGTGGAACGGCCGCGCCCACCGTATTTCCAGGCGTCGCACCAGCGGCCCGTAGCGTCGCGACGACAGCACCGTGGCGGCCGCGCGCACTTCCTCCCAGCTGCCCCGTCGGCACGGCGTTGACGTCGACCTCGGCGCGCCCAGCACCACCCGCACGCTGCGCCACAGTGGCGCGGCCAGCAGCGCCCCCAGCCAGCGTCGGCACATGAGTCCCGCCGACAGGCGCTCTCTGCGGCAGCACCGCCACCCCAAGCCACGCTCAGTGTGCTGTCGAGCAGGGGGGACTTCCCCCTGACAGGTACAAGACTTGGGTGTCACCTTGGACCCAGGTAGCTGAAGAGATTGACCAGCGCGAGGTCGGGCAGGGCATGCCAGGGCGGTGCTTTCACGACCAAGTCGGCGTCGCTGTTAGCCAACGACTCCATGGTGTGTGCCGCCTCCGGGCCGGACCCGTGCCGCCTCCGCCTGCCCCCACCCGCGCGACCACCCCGTCAGCCTGCCCCCGGCGTCACTCCGGAGGGAGAGAGATAGACAGAGAAAGGGAGCGAGGCAGCCCCGTTACTAGGCGACCGATCACGTCGCGACGACTTCGCACCACAACCTCCAAGTTTTTTGCGTTTTTCCCTGTTTTTGGTTTGTTTGTGATTTGAAGCCATCTTAAAAATGATAGTTTGGGGCAACAGGTACAGGCGGTGTGATTTAGTGAAAATGAAGCGACACAAAATGAATGGAATAATTTGTTGGCTTTGCTATAGTTTTGATATATGTAGTTCCAGAGGATAAAATAAAATGAATTCATGCATCAATTTGAAATGAAACAAAATGGTTTATTTACACATTGACAAAATGGATGAATGATATGTATGTACAATTATGAGTAAATTTGAATGAACTCTAAACTTCTACTAATATACATTGAAGACTATTATCATAATGTATCTTGATCACAGAATAAGTTTATCGAATTAAGTAGAACTTTCACCATACAAGGGAGGCATTCCATTTCCTTTACATATGTGTGGACGTGGACGTCATCTGCACCTCTACTTGTCCTGCTTCCCTCTCCTTCCTGAAAACAACAGGCATGTTAGGACAGAAATTTAAGAAATAGCAGTAAAATAAATGGTACCAAAGATTCCGCATAGATTGAACAAATCACAAACTAATGGATGACTTACCACATGACACATACCATCCAGATTTTAGTAAGTTAGACGAACAGGAAGGTAGGCAGCAGTTAATCAATCACATCAACACAAAGCGTTTAATGGACAAGAAGGAACATGTACACACAGGCATAAGCGTAAGGAAAGCATGGTTGGAATTAGTAGACTAGCAAAAATCTAACATGCTACATATTGAACAGGTGTCATAAAGACATCTATAAAAATTGAAGGGACATATCACATTGTAAACAAAACATTTCAGTTATTTAACAAAAACTAAATGACTAACACTCTAACAAGGCTTGAAAATAAATGAGATCAACAAAAACCCATTACAACACAAAACAGTAACTAAAAATGTTCTGAAAACACAACAGTTGATAAAAAAAGGACGCAAATTTTAACTTACATTTGGTCCATGCCTTTGAAACACAACAGTAATAAATTTAACAATATGTACATGGAGTAGCACATAGCAAAATATACTATCTGAAGAGTGAAAACATTAATTTTTCACAATAAAAAGCTTTGCAGAAAGTTTTGAAAATAGTTGCACTATGTTTGATATGACAGCAAATGGTGCATTGATATCTTTGTTATAATATTTTATGAGGACTTGAGGCACAATATACCTACTGTATATCATCCAGTCTCTTTTGAACTGGTCTATTTGAAATATGCTGAATTCCTGGGGGACCAGCACCTACAATTGTTGAATAACACTTTTAATTGTAAGCTCTTTGGAGCATTTTTGCTTAAAAACACATAAAGCGATTAACTATACCATAAAAGGATGGAGGGACACACAGTCAGTCAGTCAGAACTCCCCACACTTTGAAATAAAGTTCTAATACAGTACTTAATAAATTTTGAGAACCCAGTACAAATGTCTAATTTCAACAAATCTTTTGATTACTTTAAAAAAAAAATTCGTCTTAAAATGCTAAAGCCACAATTAGCCTTAACAACAGGTACACAGGCAAGACAGCTCAATAAGGATCTACATAATGTGACACCTTGCAATCGTTTTAATGCAAGGTATCATACCTAGTTGAATAAGTGGACCACTTTTCCTCCTAAAAATGGCTTTTACAAAATAAAATAGCAATAAAAATGTCGCATTTCTAGAAAAATGGCACAAAGAGGACACGGGGGCGACACTCTGAGAGAGCCACCACAATTAAATATTGTGGTAAAAAAATCTACGTACATATAAATTCACATACAAATTGTTTTAGCACACACTGGACCTTTTTCAGGAAGAGCAGTAAAAACATATGTGTAATAGATCTCCAAAGTCAGTCAAACAAAACTCCTCAGGATTGAATAAAGACATTGTTCCAAGCAAGATGATTCAGAATTTGGTAGGACCGACTCAACACCTTGTCGCAAAGATCGAAAACTAAACCAAACCTGAATCACTATTAGATTTGGCAACCTCCCCTCTAGTGGCAAGGACTTACTTCTAGACTAAAAGAATTACAATTACTTTTCATCCCCTCTTTTTTGGTTTTAAACTATGAAGACATCTAATTCAATTCTGAGGTGTGCAATAGCTACTTTCTACAGTAACAATTAAGGCATAGTCAGGGTAAGATTATACTACTATCTGACAGTTTAAAAAATTGCATGTACCATTATGAAGACACACAAAACAAATTGGTCAGATTTAGAAAAATGTGAGCAAATAAGGTTTACAAATTACAAAACAGAATTTGAATTGTGAAGCAAAGTGCAAGATTGGAATACGAAAACGATTACCGTCATGTTAGTAGCCTTATTTTAACTAGTAATATTAATGTTGTCATCAACTACTAGATACCAAAAAAAAAAAACAAAAAAAAAAAAACACAAAATAAACTTTAAAGCACAATTTGAGAAATTTTGAATTGTGATTTCAACATCAAACAATAGAAGAGTGAAACAAACTGGAATGCATTATTGCTAATGTGCTTTATAACATTCAAAGCCAGAAGCAAATACAATACAACAGCAGTGATTTAGTTGTCACTATCATCGCTGTTATAGCCACCGACACCCTGCTCCCCAGGACGAGTAGATGATCTCGGCGAGGCTCGGTTCAAGCCTCGAATGTGTACATACTGAACATTGTTGGAGCCCAGGTGGCTGCCGCTTCGACGGCCTCGGCAGCAAACGAACCAGGGACCAAGGAACAGGCTCTCCATTTCCTCCAAGGTGCGGCCTTTAGTCTCCGGCAAGAGTGAGAACAGGATGGTGAAACCCACCAAGGCAATACCGACATACAGGAAAAAGGCACCTGCAAGAGACACAAACTTGAATTTCAAGAGGTCAAGCTATAACATAGAATATAGAAGATTGTTGCTTACCTTCTTTCCCCAAAGCTTCTAGGAGGGACAGGAATGACGCAGAGATAATCAAGTTGCCGAACCAGCTGGCACTGGTTGTGATACTAGTGCAGAATCCACGAGCCCACAGCGGATAGATTTCAGAGTTGATGGTCCAAGGCATAGGGCCCATTCCTAAGGATAGAATAATTTTCAATTAGAAGAGTGGATATGAGATCTACACAAACAACTTGCAAGTTTGAATTTTAAACACACCAGGAGCAAAGGAGACAAGGTACACAGTCATGGCTAAAATGGGCAACCAGTAGTACTGAGATGGACACCATCCATTGGCCCAATCAATATTGGCAGGGTACTTAGTCATGAGATCAATATTGTCGGAGCACTGTCCGTCCAGTGGCCTCGAAGTGTCAGGGTCCATTTTCCAGCAAGATCCTTCCAAAATTGTACCATTTTGAGATTTAACAAAGCAGAAGCCACACCCCTCTGGTACACTAATGCACTCTCCACAAGTCCTGTAAATTAGATGTTAAGTGAGATAAGTTTTTTAATATTAGACATTGCAAATCACTAGGATTTTGTAGAAGCTCCTAATATTTCTTATGTACCTGGTGACACCGCATTTGTCATCTTGAATCACAGATGTAACGAGAGGAGAATCAGCTTCCATCATATGGAACCCAATTCCTAAGAGTGCCAGTGACACAATCACTCCTAAAATTTCAAAGTAACCATGGTTAAATATCATAGACAAGTAACAATATTTGAAAAATAAATAAATCAGTAAGTATTTGTTTGATGTGAAATTACCAATATATGAGAGAAGAACAAGCTTTCGGCGTCCAACACGATCCACAAGGAACAAACCAATGAAAGTAGCTCCACAGTTCACTGCAGCAACACCAGCAGAAATCCAAATGGCCAGTGACTCGTCACGCACACCAGACATTCGAATAATAGAAGCACTGTAGTACCTGATAAATCAAATACAAAAATATTAACAACTCAAAAACATTAACTTTTGAGGTGCAAGTTAAGATCAGAAATAAAATGTTTATAGTATATTTACATGACAGTGTTGATTCCTGAGAGCTGTTGAAAAGCTTGAAGGCAGAAACCGATCAGCAGTGCACGTCGCACGCCTGGTGACTTAAATACTTGCATGAAAAGAGAGCTACCTCCATTGAGAGCAATTTGTTCCTAAAGAAAACCGCAGTGAAAGAGTTTAAAACATTACAATATACATTCCAATATTCAATTAAATGTTAAAAAGTAGGTCAATAACAGTAATTATTATGTAAAACTGCAAACCTCCATTTCACGGTCCTTTTCTTCAATAGTTGCTCTGATAGCAGACAACTCCTGCTCAGCCACTGATGTTGATCCCCGAAAAGTTGTAAGAACTTTGACTGCTTCAGCATATCTGAGAACAATAAATTGTGTTACTGTTTGATTGAGTACATTGTGATTATTTTATCCATAAGCTCCATCTGTGGTTATTTATTCATTTACTTTTTTTGTGAAGCTAGCCAACGAGGGCTTTCTGGCATGAGGCAGAATCCGATGAATTGGACTAATGAAGGAACAGCAGCAAGTCCTAACATGTACCTGAAAAGTTCATTTTGTGGATAAGAATTAATAATTTGAAAAGTGAAAAAAATAAGAAATAGAACAAAGAAAAATAAGGAAGACTTGAAGGTAGTAAAACAGAAATGTTACCTCCAGCCTTCAAATGCAGTTGAAAATAAACCCGCAACAACACTTGCAGCAACCAAGCCAAACGTGATGAACAGCTGATAGGCTGTTACAAGCATGCCTCGTTGAGACGATTCTGAGCATTCTGCTATGTAAACTGGCACGCTCATGCTCTCGAAACCTTACATGCAATATGAAAATAATTTTCAAATAAAAAAACAAATAAAAACACACAGACAACTGAAAACAAAAGAAAGACAAACTTGTGCTTCAACCAATGACATTCAGTGCAGAACATTATAAAAATATCTACTGCTAAAACATGAAATAATACGGCAATCAAAGCAGAAATTTTTCCTTCTTCTGATTGGAAGTCCAGGTCCTTTGACCTCATACCAAAAATTTAAAGCAATGTCTTGAAGAAAATAAAACAAGTGAAGCAAACACAGTTAGCAAAACCAAATACATAAAGCAATGTTAAAAAAAGCTATGTTGAAAAATTAAATTCTAATCAAAATTCTATAAAACACAACCTTGAAAATAAGACTGTAATAAATTCTCCCTTCTGACTAACCTCCATCCATTGTAAGATTTATCTGCAAAAGCACCACACATAAGAGCCGCTACCGCTTGTCCCAAGGCTATGAGGGTGACGAATGTTGGCATAGGAGAAGCATCACGGGTTGATATCTCCTCCATGTACTGAGGTGTTGCCACTGATGTTAAACCTACACCATGCAATGAAGCAAGCCATGAGTTAGTTCTTATTCTTAGGTTGTTTCTGTTACACATTGATAAGGTAAAACATCTGCTACAATTTTTTTTAAAACTAAAAACAAGATGTCCATACTAAATTTACTAAAAGAAATTAACAGCGACAAAACATAAAAAGTGGCTTCAAGGATTGGTTTGAAAGACAGAAGTTCCTGAGATAAAAGAAATAAGCACAGACATTTATAATTTTGTTGGGGATGATTAGAGATAACATACCAACACCAATTCCAATAATAATTCGTCCGACCAGTAGTACTTCTTTGCTTGGAGCAGCTCCCATCACGATTCCTCCAAGAGTGAATATAACACCAGAGACAAGAATTGCGGTCCTCCTACCATAGCGATCTGCAAAATGCAAAACATAGTATCACTTTTTAACAGAAGCACATTTATAGGAGACATGTCATACACCTAAGAAACAAACCTGAGAACCAGCCGCCAACAAGGGAGAAAACAAGGGCCGCACCAATAGTGGAAGATACTATCAATTCGTGCCACACAGGCGACACATCAAAGTCTTTGCTGAAATATTAAAATAAAAAATGTTAATGGGACATAAACTTAAATGATCATAAGTTCTACAAAGACAACAGAAAAGGATAACAAAATTAAAAATAACAAAGCAATAGATAAATTATTCCAAAAACATCCCCTAAACAGATACACCAACCCTTAAATTTTAAGGTTAATAATAACCAGCCCCTTGAGAAACATAAATATAAAAATAAAACTGTTTATGAGCCAGGAAGAATGATGCCGAGACATAAGGGGGCACAACCACTTACTTAATGAGCAGCATGGCGCCAGACACCACTCCTGTGTCATATCCAAAGAGGAAGCCTCCGAGGGTGCTGAGGGTCGTGAGGGTGAACATGAAGTACTTGGACCGCCTCTTCATGCCGACGTCCGACAGCAAGTCCTCCTTGCTCACCATGTCCACGTTGGACTGGTACTTAGACATGGTGGCTGGCTGGCTGGCAGACTGGGGTTGACAGGTGTCCCGTTGGGGTGGGCGGTCGCCTCGGCGGTCGGGTCGCGACGTGAGTCCTGCGCCCCTCGTTCTGGTTCACTGCCTCGGCGGGACTGCTTCTCCGACGACGCAGTTAGTCCGAGTGGACTGAGACGATCGCCATTCCTCGCGAAACGTTGTGCAGGTCCTGCGGGTCCTGTTCCTGCTGGCGAGGACCCGAATCCAGCCCCAGGCTGGCACAGCTGACGGGGGTCGGGACGGAAGGGTGGAAACGGCAACGGCAGGGGCAGGCCAAGTCGTCAAAGGCACGCCAACGCCAAAGGACGCGTAGTTCCAAGTCCGGCCGCCGCGGCGCTGTTGCTGCGTCCAGGGCTTCCAGTCTCTGGGCCGCGGAGTAGCGCCGACGCCACCACCCCTTCGCTTTTCCGCAGGCAGGGAGTCTCTTCTCCGCGGGGGTTGCTGCGGCCTGCGGCTCTTGCTTGGCGAGGACGACACGGCGCGACGATACGCGAAGACTGTGTTTACGTCGCACCTGAGGGCGTACTTATAGGGCAGCGGCTCGGCGGGGCCTGCGTCCGAACCGCGTCCGAAAGGCGGCGACGGTCGCTTCTGCACCCTCGCCGTGCGGAGGACGGGGACGGCGGGATCCTCCCGGACGCAGCCCCGCCAGCGCGCCTGCGCCGCCCGCCCAGCATCATCATCTTTAGCGACCGTGTGACAAGGCGACAAGGCGACAAAGCGACAAGGCCCGGGGCTCGATTCGCTAAACGCCAAGTCCCCTGCGGACCGGCTCGAGCCGCGGCAAGCCGCCGAGGGCTAGCCTGCGCCTGGCATGCAACGGGCGAACCGAAGCAGAAGCACGCGGACCGCGCGGAACGCCAACCGCGCCAGCAGGACGGGGTGCATCCAGCCGCAAGTTCAAGTCCCGGATGCAGCCCTGCTCCGCGGGTCGGCCTAGCCTCGCAGAAACACGGGGCTGACTGCCGACAGCCCGACCCTCCCCGACGCCCCGCACGACGCTGCCAAGCTGATTATCTCCCAAAACGAGCCTTGTTTCATTTCCGCGGAGACTTTAGTCCTTATCGCGGAATCGCGGCTTTCTTCGTCCTTGCTCGTCCGTCCTCTTGACCCCCTTTCCGCGGCCCGCCGCGCCACTGTGTTCCTGTCTACTTTTCCATACATTTTTCATTAAACAAACTTCCGATTTTAATTACGAGAGCTCTGTGAAGATGCCGCGCCGTGGCGAGCCGCACCGCATACCTCGGCGCCCGCCCGTTCTTCGTCCGTCGTGCCACCCCATCGCCCCATGGCCCATGGCGAGCCCCATGGCGAGCCCCATGGCCCCATCGCCACCCCCGGCCCAGCCGGCCGGCCGCCTCGGCGCACCAAAGCGGTGGAAGCGAAAAAGTTTTTCCTTGTTTTTCATCGCTAATGATTTTCATATGATAATCCAGACGGCTTAGGCGCGGCGCCGGGGTGGCCGTGAAGGCCGGGCGGGGGACGCGGGGTGGCGGTAAGGAAGGCGTAATTACCGCGAGAGGCCGAGAGCACCTGCGCTACGGCCTCCACGGCCTCCACCCCAGCGGCCGTCACCAACGCGACCGCCACCGCCGCACCGCCGCACCGCGCGCACGACGCCGCCGAGGTGCACGTAAATTCCGGCGCGCGAATAATGATCATAAATACGGGGCGCACTACACGCCTTTTCGCTCCGTGCTGCGTCTCGCCGCGGGGGGGGGGGGATGCTCGCCGCCAGGTGTAATGGGGGATGAACCTGGCAATTAATAATGAGCCGGTGGCGACGGGAGGGGGGGGGCGAGGCTTTGCACGTCTCCGTGCCGCGCAATCCCGAAGCAGCCACCGCGAGGGCCTCGGCGAGGGCGGCGAGGCGCGGCGTCGGCGGATTCGAGACAAACAGCAGCCTGACGTCTTCAAAGGGCTGTCACCAGCAATTCGCCCCGAGCGGTGCAAGCGGTGCGGAGCAGGAGCGCGCCCGGCCACCCAGCGCCGCCCAGCGCCGCGGATGGATAGTCGTGTCAACAAAAGCAGAGGCCGATTGCCTGTGAAGAAATCCCCTGCCGGTCGGTGCAGCCTGGTGCAGCCCTGCGGCCAGGCTGGCCAGCCGAAACTGGTTCGACCATAGACAACCCGCCACAGCGTCATAAGCTTACCGCAGGACCATGTCGCTCTCATGTCAGCGTTAGCTGCAGCGTGGAACGGATTCAACAAAGATCGACAAAGATTCAGCAGAGTCCTTCACTCCTCACTCGGATTCCGAACGATGCTTTCGTCGCCCTGTCTCTCTCGCAGTCCTGGGGTGTCCCGTGAGGACGGGAGAGAGACAAGCACTGTTCAGAATCGGCCTGCAGCATCAGAGCGCAATGCGCCAGGGGTTGCAGCGTCGCTTTCTCTGTCACATAATCGCATGAGGGCCGCGTGGGTAATCTGGCCTCCCTGACCCCGCCAGCCCCGCCACCCCCGCCGACGTCGCGACATTAAAAATCCCCCCACCCCCCGCCGGGCGCGCCTTCATGTACCATATTGTTTTCTTTGAGCGCGCGCATCTCTTATTAGTTTATTTTCTCGTTGTCTGAGAGCCACGCGGCACGCGCCGCGAAAATCTCCGTCCGTCCCAATGTGTCGTTACCCTCCCAACCTTAAAAAAATTACACGAAGCAAAAGAAAAGGAAAAGCATTGTTTTACCAGAAACAAAATTGATAAATTTTTGTCAGTGTGCAGGAGAGCCCGAGGGCGGCGATCGTCCTGACGGTCTTGACCGCCACTTGACTCCTCCAGCCTTCACTCCAGCCCCAATGCGCGATTGTTCTCCAGGCCGCGGGGAGGGTTATCCAGCCGGTGGCCGGAAAACAAAGAAAGCATTTGAATAAAGAGCGCCGGGCGCGGTGGGGGGTGGCGGGGCGTGGCGGGGCGTGGCGGGGCGTGGCGGGGCGTGGCGGGGCGTGGCGGGGCGCGGCTGCGGGGACAGCGACAAACAGCCCGCCGCCGCTGCCGCCGCCGGGGTGGCCTGATCCTCCTCGGGTCCCTCAGCGACCGCGGGCTGTGCAATGACATCTTAATCTGCATCCGCCTCGGCATCCGCTCACTCCCCTCCCAGGACAATCAACCCCTTCCCGTCGTCCCGCCGCCCCGTCGTCTCCCCAGGGCGCCGCGCCGCGCCCCGCCCCGCCCCGCCCCGCCCCGCCTCGCCCCTCGCCGCCCGCCTGCCGCCCTCTTGCCCCGCTCCTTGTTTCGTTTCGTTTGCTCGCTGCACGTCGCGAGCCAGGTAATTCTTCGCGCCTTTTGCACGTAGATTAAATTTTAACGCGGCCGCGACGCTCGGAGCGCGGCAGCAGCGGCAGTGTCGGAATGGAGTATTTATTATTGTTTCCACGCCGAAAGGGAAAAGCTTTCCGCGCGGCTCTGCGTTTTGTTTCGGGGGTTGTTTGCCGCGGAAAACAGTGCGCGCGCCAGAAAGAGAGCGAGAGAGAGAGAGAGAGAAGGATGGCGCGCTGACAGCAAGACATCAGGACAAACCCGTGCACGGCATGCCGCAAGGAGGAGGGGGTGGGAAACGTAAATTATTTAAATTTAATCACGTTTGCCTTTCCTGGCCGGGCGGGTTCAATTATGCGCCTTTTAATGTGCGAGAACGTGATTGTTTGAAAAATGCATGAGGCCCGAAAAATCAGTCGGCACATACGCCCGGTGTGCGCACGCCGCGGGGGGTAGGCCGTGCGTGTCACTTCGCCACGCACGGAGGAAAGGGGAGAAAATGAGGTTTTACGCGCCGAAAAAACGTTTCCGCCGGTTACTCAACACCCGAAACGCTTACTCACTCCGTGCCCGCGGTGCCCGCGGTACCGGTACAGTAACGCCCCTCCCCTGCGCTGGCCGCGCGCGTGCCACAGGTAACAGGCACGGGGTAAGTGGCGGGAGCGTGCCGCGGGGGAGGGGGAGGGGGAAGGAATCGAGAAACAAGTGGCAGCGCCGTGCCAACTCGGGCGGCTTGTTCGCACCAGCGGGGAGCAGGGGGAACCGGGGGAACGGAGGGCGAGTGCGTGGGTGTGCCCGGGCCAGCACGGGCCAGCATCCGCCAGCATCGCGCCGGTCGTCACAGAGGCCGGCCGTCAACGGCAGGTCCACGATCCGAGCCTCCGTGTTGTTCAGGCGGCCCGCCAGGCCGCTCACCGGTCGCCTTGCTCTTTGGGGACACCAAGGGGACGCCACCACACTGCGCGCTGCTGAGCTCGTCGGCCAGGGCGGCGTGTCCTCAGGCACCCTGGCCGGCGGCCGTCTTCGCCAGGACCACGAGGGTCATGGTGTTCAAGCCGCTCTGACAAGTCGCCCTGCTGAAGCCTGTAGTGCTTGTTTCGCCAGGGATCTGCCGGCGCCTTGGCTGGCGCCCTCCTCCCCCGTGGCGAGTGGCCAGGCTCTGGCTGCCCCTGCGCTGCCCCTGGCGAGCTGGCGCGGTTTTCAGCGCACAGGAAAAACGCCGCCCTCGCGGCCCGCGCGTTTGCCCGCTTGTTTGTTTGCTTGTTTGTTCCTGGACTATTTAGCGAGGAGTTACGGTTCGCGGATCGGGCCCGCGGCTCCGCGGCCCCGCTGCCGAGCTGCTCTGCTTATCGCGTCGCGTCGCGTCGGGCAGGATGAAGTGACGGATGAACCCGGCCCGGCGAAGCCCGGCGTGTCAGCGACGCGGCGACGCGGCGGCCTTAATCTCCGGGGAGACGCGCTCGAATTTCACTCCACAAAATGTTGCTCTACTTTGTTTTGTTTTTCCACGCCCCGCGGCCGCGCGGTGCACAGTTTTATTCTATTAATAAAGGGCGAAGCGCGGAGGACGCGCCGTCTGCACTTCGCTGTCTCCTCTCCGGCGGGCTTGCTTGCTTGCCGGTACTTAATATTTCCCTTTCATTGTTTTCGCGGCGCGATGCGGCGGCGGTGGAGGGGAGCAGGGCGGAGCGTTGAGATATTTATGCGACAGAGGGACTTCTCCTAATTTAATAAAATATCGTGTCGCGGACGCTGAAGGTGCAGGAGGCGGTGTGGTGTCGCGCGGCTCTGAAACCAGTTTGATTAACACTCCCTTCCCCTTCTCTCTCTCTTCTCTATCTCGCTCGCTCTGCAGAGCGTTAGCGCCTCACTATCCTCTGCCGTGGGCAATCGACCCTGCTGTATTGTGATCGTTGTACCATCAAAGACAAAAAATACTCCGCCGATACCATATTTGTAAGAGACTGTCCATGTCCGGCATTTAATGAGTCACGTGGGCATGGAGTATCGCCTCTGGGGCCACTCCTGTCCAGTGTTTCGATCGAGGTTTCGCCAGCGGTGCTCCCGCGCCGTACTTGGCCCCTCCGCGCCATTTGCTGGTGACGGTGCGCGATTCCGACCCGCGAACTAATACTTGCCACCAGCGCGCTAAGTGTTTGGACCACAACAAGCCGGCCGCTGCGCTGTCACTGTGCTGTTACCGAGTTGCCCGACGGAGGCGTTCGTTGGCAGCCG